AGGACAGAAACACCTGAATTCGCCACCCGCCTTCCTTTGCGAGCTGTGGACACAGGGGATCGAATCGCAGGCGACCGTGCAGCAGGAGAGCCAACATGGGGACCCGAACGGGACATAGATCCCAAATCTTGATCAAGACGCCGACAAACCCCCGTCATGGAGTGCTTCGAGCCCGACAAGTTCCGGCTCTTAGCCGAGAATTTGCGCACTGAGGATTTCTTCTTCCGGAGGGACTGGGATTCCACCACATCGCGAGCCGGGGAGGCCGGAAGATCTTCAATTCCCGATCGAGAGGGGGAGAGTGGGCGGATAGGAAGATTGGAGCAAGCACCAGAAACGGGGATAGCAGAGCAGGGCGGGAACTTCGACATATCAGCACCAGCAGCAGGGACATTGGGAGCAGCAGACGGGATCACCGAATCATCACGAGGAGCAACACCAGAGGGAGCTTGGGATTGAAACAACTCACGTTCAGAATCTGCCAAACCATCCCATTCAGATTGGGTGAAGTGGAGGTTAGACCCATGGCTCTGATTAGGGCCACCCAGAGATCCGCCCCCCTCCTTATCATGCTTGTCCGAAGGGTTAGAAGGGGGAGGTGGAGTCTGAAGAGCAGCCGCCCCCTCCACCCGCACCCGAAGCTTAATACCATTGGGAGAAGGGAAGATATCAATCGAGCCATGAACCCGTTTAGGATCCACACACCAAACCTTCATCCTAGCAGGGCCAACCTTTTTCAGAGAGTCTTCATCCACCTCGATGGGCTTCCCAATCAGAACCCTGAAAGACATGAGAAAAGCAGACAAACGGAGACCAGCAGGCAAATCGTCAATCAAAACCCAGACTTGAGAGAGAGGACCAACTGCCGTACCACTGCAAGAAGCCGCTTTAACAGAAACCACCAATTGATTGAGGGGCAAGGTGAAGCTAGTGCATGAGGCAATCATCCGCAAACATTCTTTGGAGGGAAACACCACAGAGAACTCAAATTCAGATAACTGCACAACTTGCCAGTCCCATCCAGCCTCATCCCAAATGCGAAGCCCTTCCAGAAGAATTTGGGGCGAAATCTTTTGATCCTTGACTGTAACAATCGCAGCATTAGACAGAGCAGGTGCCACCTCCCGGACAGGCAGGTCACCGTCAAAGGCAAAAAAGGCGCAACCGGGGAGGCCCGAGCCGAACTGGATGACCGCGGAAGGTTTCTGCCTAGCCATGCAGTTGACCGTGAGGTGACCATCAGAGCGATAGATCAGGCAAAAAGGAGGGTTGGTGCAGCGAGACTGGAAATGGCCAGGCCTGTGACAAGCGAAGCAGGTGAGCGCCGAGGGGTTGTTATGGGAAGCAGAGGACGGGCGGGATTGCGGAAGCGACGGAGGAGGAGGAAGGATCCCATCCCCCATCCCCGGAAAAGGGGGCACCCCAGAGGCCGGACCGGGCGGCCAACGCGCCGGCCCCGCGAAGGACCGAGGCGGCGGACGAGCACCAGCACCAACCCCAACCGAGCAAGGAGGAGGAGGAGGGCGCGACGGAGCAGATGGACCGCGGCCCACTCCCGGAGCAGGGAGGGAGGCAGAAGACGAAGAAACACCATCGCCGGAGGCCACCGCCGCCTCCCACGGGTCCAGCACCGAAGAGAGTGAATGGCCAGATCCAGAGCCCTGCGGGCCAAATCCGGGCACACCAACCCTCTCCGAGCGCTGCGACCACTCCGGACACGAAGCCCAAGCCTCGCGGTCACGAGCCACCTGCTCGCGCGCCGCCTGTTCCGCCTCCAACTTGGAACGGAGCGAAGCCTCGAGCTCCAGATCCACCGTGGAGGAAGGGGAGTCCTCACGGCGTCGCTTGCTGCCCGAGAGCACCTCGTAGGAAGAGCCCTGCGACTTGTCCATGGATAGCACCACAGCAAAAGGAAGGAGGAGGGGTAGAGGTGGGGAGGATCTAATGAGGCGACGAATGGGAAGACGGTGATGGCGCAGATCGGAAGCGGAAGCCGGAAACCCTAGCAAAGGGGAGGAAGAGCCGCGGGGGGATCCATAAATAGCCCGTCCGAGCCGTGCCCATCTGGGCCCGACTCGCCACATGGGCCAAAGAAGGTTGAGGAGCAGGAACCCGGACGATGGGCCCAACTGGGCCGGATGGGACCAGAGGAGGGAAATCTGCCACCGACGAAAGAGGGGGAGGAGAAGCAGGCCCACTGGGCAACGGCAAACCGCAAGGCCCATCAAGCCCACCCGAGGGGACGTCCCGCGGCCCGATGGCCACCGTGGAGAAATCGAGATCTAGGTTACACGATGCCACCAGCGACCCCGCCGTCGTCGCCGCCGGCGACGAGGCCGCCGCAGAGGCTGCAGGAGAAGGGGATGGGAGGCCACCAAGCTCCCCATCAGGCGCACTGCCCAGGACAACGAGATCAGGTGACGCAATAGCAAACTTACCAGACTTACGCCGCCGCCGAGAGATCCGAATCCAGCCATCGACCGACGAGGACGCGGCCACCGACCGGCCCCGGCCACCAGGAGCGAACTTGCGGGGACGAGGAGCGGCGGAAGGCACCACCCCCCCCCCCCAGCACAAGGCACGGGACCACAGGGGGAAGGGACCGACGACCGCGAATCCTCCTCATCAGACGCAAGGGCCCATAAACGAGATCCGAGCACCGGCAGCGGTGAAGACAGAGGCGAGAACCCCACCCGCGGGGAGCCAGGGGAGGGGAGAGAGAGAGCACCTGCAAGCGGAGAGGGGGATGACCGGGCACCAGCCAGCGGGTCAGGGCGGGGAGCGGGACGGCTAGGGCAAGGAGAGGAGGAGGGGGAGGAGGAGGCGAGGGAGGAGGGAGGGAGGGGATCCATCTCGCCCTTTGTTTGAATATACCTAGAAGCCCGAGTCTCATGTTGCATGGCTGTATCTTGTATGTGCTTAGCTAGAGGAGTAACGTTCGGAGGTAGTTGAGTAGTGGTTGTTCCTGCTGTACACACACACTCTCTGTATATTTGTACAGCTATAGAGTAGTCAACATAGTGGTAGCAGTTTGCTCCACTAACGCCATCAGACATGACGTTTCTACGTTGGCCGGTAACGCCATGGGCTATGGCGTTTGTGAAAACGCAGCACAGTTTGGCGTTTCGAACTGCCACTTTCGCAGGACAGTAGCGCGAGATGGTTCGACGTTTCTATGGAGGGCAGAAACATCACGATTTGTGGTGTTTTTGAAAAGGGTCAGATAGTAAAAAAAAAATTTGGAGGAGTTTATTTTGTGTTTAAGAATGTGTTTAGTTGTCTGCATACACTTTCATTAGGCCCGTGCGGGAAGAATCCGGCCTATTTGGTTACCTATACTGTTGGACCTGTATAGCATGAAACATAAAGCATCTTTGGGCCTGACTCGCTGGAAACGCTCAGAAGTTTCTTGCGAGTCAGGCCGAGGCGAGTGCAAGCGAACTACACGAGTGAAGACTGGATGGATGCAAGGTGATTATATGAGGTCTTCTTCAACCTCAAGTAAGCTTCTATGTAACCTCCTCTCTTCCTTGTCCCTCTGATCTACATAATGGTGCTTTGATTTGAGGTAAGCTCCACACGAAAAAGATGCACCTCGATGCTACGGTTTTATTCAGGCGATCGGTTTGTAATTTAGTCGGCCATAAGTTCTTAATTTCGTGTTCCCGTTTGAAGCTATTCTGAACGAATTTTGTCAGATTCGTCGCGCACAATTGATCATTTAAAATTTTCTTTGACCAGCAGCCTAATCTCGCAGTTCCTCCCAACATTCGTGTTGTAAGTTTTTGGTTTCGATGATCGTATCTTTATCTCTCTTTGAACAGCAGTCTACTGCACTAACGTCGTCATGTCGAGCTTCTTTGTCCTCTGCTCAGAGCCCTCCTATTTGCCCATCTAGACACGAAAGCCCTTTTCCTTGATCTCCTTGCCCACATCCTACTACACTAGAGTCGTTTCCGGCGTCGCTCATCTCGGCCTACTCTGTCGTCCTCGTACTGCAGTGACGCTGCAATGGCGCGCACACTGCTTTCTTGTGTCATCTGCCTCTATGCACCATGCAGTTCGCCGCGCCGCAGACGAGGTCGGTCATCTTGGCCTCCACTCTCTCTCTCGCCCTACTACACTGGAGTCGTTTCCGGCGTCGATCATCTCGGCCTCCTCTCTCGTCCACTGCACTGACGATACCATGACGCGAGCACTGCATTCTCCTTCTCTGTCGACTGTCTTTGCGCGAGCATCACAACTAGTTCGCCGACGGTGTCGCTTGTCGTGCCGCCGACGGGGTCGCTCGCCCACGGCTCCATGCTCGTCATGTCGAACATGACGCCACGACCACTATCCACCGCAGTCGCCATGCTCCGACGCACACTGCATTTCTTCCCCCCTTTCTCTGCTAGCTCTTAACCATGTGTGCTAAGTGCAAGGGCTAACTCTTAATCATACCTCATGCGTGCAACTAAACACCATGTCCATGTGCCGCTTGGGCCATGCAGACAACCAAACAAAGTGCACTTACGTATTACCTAATGCAGGGACCCTAGATGCAGGCAACCAAACAACTTGTAGATGACGCATTAGAGCCTGTTTTTGCTCAACCAGACTGGGTTGAGAAGTGTATGCCATGCAGGTACTCTTCACAACTTAAACCAAACACGCCCTAAGTTTTCTGACAAGGTCAAAACAGTGATTTTGGCCGCATACAAACCCAGGTGCTTCCTCTGCGAGTGATCTCAGCCGTTGGATTCCTTCTTTCTAAGCCGTTGGATAACTGAATCACATGACACCCATTCTTCAGAATATCATCTTCAGTGGTGGCCGTATCTTCTTCCTCCTGGCGGTCCCGACATCCGCGCGAGCCCAGCCTCCAGTCCGCCCCGGCCGCCGTGCTGCTGCGGTGCTGCCACCGGACGCCGGCCCCTGCCTCTCCGACTCCGCTCCGGCCAACACTCAACCCTGGCCCCGCCACTGCCCGAGAGCACAGATTGGGGATAGGGGGTGCTATGCTTCGCCTTGGCCTCCATCCTTGCCCCCACTTCTCTCCGCCGCCATCCCACCCCACCCTCCCCCGCCGGTTGGCCGCCTCTCCGCTCCCAAGGCCACCCTTTCCATCCGCCGTCACCGCGCCCCGAGCTCGAAACCCTCCGCTTCAGGCCGCCGTCAGCGGAGCCGCCTCCGGAGAGGAACGGCGGGGCGCGGATGGGGACGAGGAAGGCGCGGACCTGCACGAGGCGCTCACCAAGACGCGGCGGCTCGTCGAGTGCGCCATGTTCGCATCCGTTGCCGGTCTCGCCTACTTCCTCAGCAACTCCCTCGCCATCGAGGTCTGCCATGCTTTTCTGCTCCCACTTGTCTTTCTATCTGTTCATTCATTCCACTGTTGATGGGTACATGACACTGCTGTCTTCGTTTGCTGATGCAGAATTACTTCAGCTGTTTTTTTCCGTTGCCAATAGTCATCTCCTCCTTAAGATGGGGATTAGAAGCCGGCAGGAAAACTATGGTAAAGTCTGATCAAATGGTTCACCTGGCATATATAGCTTTGATGCATTTTATTTTGGTTTATTTATGGCATTGCCTCATCAGGTGGCTACTGTTTTACTGCTCTTCACATTGTCTGGCCCTGTCAAAGCGTTGACTTATCTGGTAAGTATCTCTTTTGTGACATGATTCATATCATACTTGTACCAACGGCATGTGCTTGGTTCGAAACATCTAAAGTTGGCAACTCACATATGCACCTTCAAACTAATGGGTGTTGGTGCTGCAATTTGAGTGTTGAAACGGGGACTTCAACATCATTGTCATTGAAATGAACACCAGCTCCATTTTCCAGAACAAAAAATCAGTCTATCTTAGCGCTAAAAGAAATCAATATTCTGAGCGAAAGAAATTATTTAACTAGAGACTTCAAGCTATGACAGGAAGGGTTACCAATCATCTAACTACAGTATTCCATTTTTCATTTTAGTACTTCATTTTGGTGTTGTTGGTAAATTTACCATGTTTTCCCCCTTAGCTTCTCTGTGTATATTGGTTCATTTTCGTTGTGTCTTCTTTGGGACTTGAAAGATTTAAAGAACCCTGCATTCATCCGTTATGACTGAAGACAGTCTTACATTCATTGGCCTTGTTTTCCTGCAGCTTATGCATGGAGTAGTTGGTCTATCCATGGGTACTATGTGGAGGTGAGGAATACAAAGGTTAAAAGGTGAAGCTTTCGCTTTCACCTTTGGCCTGTGTCACTTAAAGTTAATGATATATCTGCATCAGAGGTGCATGTATGCAGCTGTAGCTTCCAGTCGATTTATATTGACTTTGAGTAATAGTAACATTTTTTCCCTCCTCTATCATCAGGTTGGAGACCAATTGGATTGTTTCCATCATAATCTGCGCAATTGTAAATATCTTTTCTCAATTGGTATTTCATATCTATAGATGTATTTCTGATCATGTATGGATTGCACATGAACCTCATAGCTTTGGATTGGAACTTGACAACATTACCATGTAGTTTCTATATGAAAATGTGAATCAGAATGTCTAGTTCACGATTGCTAATAGTTGCAAATCTCTGTATTATTTCTTGTACGCCTCTTAGATAAATGGTTACCTTTGTGCTGTTCTGTCACAAAATTACCAAGCAAATTAAAACCAACACCAAAAATGCTTACGTTGTTTTCATTATGTTTAACATATGAAATAGCAAATTGCAATTGCTATCATTTCAGGAAGGCAACACATTGCCAGTTCATGTTTCTTCTTAACTTTAGATGATGTCTAATTTCACCCAACGAAACTTCCTCATAATAGGAGAGTAGAGGTGGAAGAGTCTGGTGCATAAGCTCATGTTCCCTTGAGGAGAAAGAAGGTAGTTGATAGGTCCACCTAATATCAGGATTCAGGATCGTTGAGTGGAAATAAGTAAACAGCCAGTTTTGCTAATAACAAATACAATGAGAAATGGATACAAAGATCCAGATTTTCTTAGGAACTAAATTCTTGCCGGTTGTGATTGTCGACGTGAGATCTCTCTCAGTTCGCCTGACTTGATCAAGAAGCAGAAAAGAACAAGGGAGAAGTTGGAGGAGAATTCAGAGCTTTGTTCCTATCGTTCCTGAAAGACGGGCTAATATCGCCAACACACACTAAAACGGCCCACTGGCCCCACTTGTCATAACTTAAACACACACTTCTTTCCACACCACCTGGTACATAGCGGGCACACGAGTGGTGCTACTCTTACTTTTAGTCCTTAAATTGAATGTCAGCTGACAGCTTGCTTTGCAGATACGTGCAGTGGGAGCTTGTGGATATGTGTTAGTGACATCGTTCTTGATACGAGAAAATATTTTTCAGTTGGTATGCCTACTCAACACTATTAGACAGTATGATTGGAGGGGGGTGGGGGTATCTTCTTTAACTTCTACTCATTTCAGATAACCGTTAACATACATGCCTCCTTGACGTACATTCTGGCGGCGGCTGGTGTGAACACGATTCCATCCATGGATGCAATATATGTTATCTTTGGGACACTGGTAATTTTTAAGCTGCCAAATTACACTTATAGGATGAGCTGGTTCAGAAAGTAACTTGCCTTTCTTTGGCAGGTTCTGCTCAATTCTGGATTCTTTGTCTTCATACTGCATATAATTTACACAATCTTCCTGACTAAGCTGGGAATCAAGCCTTCACTGAGGCTTCCACGATGGCTGGGGAAAGCAACGTCTAGTTGATAGGTAGAATGCCACCATACTAATTTGTAGTTGAAGATTTGCTCCCATGGCCTTTGTAATATGAGCATTGTTGTCCGGCTTCCTGGTAGATGATTGTGGTTTTACCGACAAGATTTTTGTTGGTTGTGATTCTGCATTGGTGGCATTGACTGATCGACAAGTGTTGTAGAACTTGTGAGACTTGTCGAGTATATTGCCTCGGTCACGTCTTTCATTTAAACTTTTGTATTTTTGCAGTGTTTCTGTTAATATATAATTTAGAATTTTGGGGCATTACTCCATTCGTCTGAAAATCTAAGTCATATTCATTTTATCCAAAGTCAAACATTCTTATGTTTGATTTTCTGCATTCCCTTTACCTACATCACACCGGTTTACAGGGTTACATGGCATTTGAACAAACTCTAACCCTAGCTAGCTAGAGACAACATTTATGTATTGCTTGGTTGATGCTGCCGGGGAGTAAAACAGGGGTACGATTGGTTTCTGCCGGTGGACATCCAGCTCACTTTCTTGAGATATTTACCATCTCCTTTGAACTTCTCGAACTCTTTTTCTTATTGTTTTCCTTTCCAAACCACAAATCTTGTCACCCAAAACTACAAATTGCCTACAATGATTTTGCAATACAAAATACTTTCATGAGACATTTACTATCCTTTTACTTTTGCGTTTCCCCCTTGCAAGTTTATTTATTTATTTTTTGAATCAAAGTGGTTACCCGCCGTCCCAACTTTTATTAAAAGCAGAGGCAAACAGTGTAACCATCATTCAACAGCTCTCCGTCGCAACCAGAAAGTAGTTGCGGCGGACTTATTACAACTTAACAGAGATAAACAGCGGAACACAAGCTACTAGAGTACCATATAACCTATTAAACACCAACTGGACATCTCCAAGTGATCCTAAGGAGCTCCCCACGGTGATGATCGAGCAGCCGCAGGCATTTCATGAGCATAGTAGCTTGAGCATCTGCGCACAACACTTTCCATTGATCAACAAACGCTCCTACCAAACCCAGGTTGCATTTCTTGCTTTGTAACGTTCGACCCTGAGAAACAAAATCATTGCGAAGCAACCATAAGCTCCACAAGGTAGCAGTCGTAACCATGTTGATGACAGTAGCCTGCTTCTTTTGTTGCCGAAACATAGCTAAGGAATCAAAAGAACAGGGAATTGGAATATCAAGTACACCAACCACCACCTTCCAAGTATTTTTTTTTGCAACAATGCAATCAAAGAATAAGTGTTGAATAGTTTCCAATTCATTGCAGAATACACAAGTAGGATCAGCCACATGGCGCCGTTTAACTAGATATCTCTAGTTAGACTTCTAGTATTATGTAAGATGAGCCAGAGAAAAATATGAATATTTGGCGGGGTCTTAATTTTTCAAATACATTCTGTATGATTAGAAGATATCCTATCAAAATTGATTAGCTTGTACAAGCATTTCACAGAGTATGTGCCAGAAGGATCAAGGGACCAAACAAGAAATATCAGCTTCAGAAGATAGAACAATTGGTTTCACCCGAGAAATTAACTCAAATCAACTATTGAGAGTTTGTTCATTAACACATCTCCTGAAAGTTAATTTTACAACTACACCATCCCATACTTGGACAACTGAAACATCTTATTGCTAGCAAATCAAACAGATCTCATAACTGAGTTTTGAGTGAACAATCACCCAACCATATTTCTTGCCAGAAGGCAACTTTCTGTTCATTACCCAGCTTCCATCTACAAAATGTTTTAGCAGCAGAAAAGGCCCAAGATATACATTTCCAAAAAGGAGAACCCAAACCAGGTTTAGCCCAAAGAATATTAGGTTTATCAGTAGTGCACTTATTCCAGTCACTTGGCCGGTTATCAAAAATTCTTTTGCTCCAAGAGGCTAATAAAGCCATGTTAAATCCCTAGGATTAGGGACCTCATACCACCCAAAAAAATCTAGAGATAAGCCCCCAGTTTGCAAGATGGTACTTCTGTTCATCCCCAACATTGTCCCAAAAGAAATGAGTCATCTGAGAAGTCATGGCTTCAATGGTCCGTTTAGGAAACTTAATCATGGACATGAGATAAGTAAGAATACTGGCAATACAAGTAGTAAGCAAATTAAGCTTACCCCTGTAGTATAAATTCCTGCCAAGCCAGCCAAAAATATTCTTAATAGTCCTATCTATAATGTGTTGAGTATCCTCCCTCCTCAACCTTTTGAAATGCAAAGGAACACACAAGTACCTAAAAGGAAAAGAACCAATCTGACAACAGAAAATCTGAAGAAAACAATTAGCGAGTTCTTCCACATGGACAGTATGAAGGTCACTTTTATGGAAATTAATCTTCACCTAGATAGTTTCTCAAAGAAATATAAAATCTGTTTCAAACAGGGCCGGCCCATAGGCCGGGCAAACGGGGCTCCCGCCCTGGGCCCCCGGCAGGCAGGGGCCCCAGCCTAGGTATTATTTCCTCTATAGTACTAGGAAGCCCAGAAAAACAGCGAGAGTAAAAAGGGCCCGTTCAGCGTCGCTCTTTCCCATGCTGATCGACTCCTCTTCCGCAAATCCCAGACTCCAAAAACAGCGCCACCGTTCCCGTGCGTCTCTGATTCCTAGATCGCCGCCGGCCATTAATGGGGACTAAAGGCGCAAATCGACTCTCCTTCCTTCTTCTATGTTCCGCTTGTTCCCCATCAGCTAGATGTTGGGACTTGGAGACAGTACATGTTCTTCTTTTCTTCCTCCCCATAATCTTGTTCCTCCTTTCAATTAAATAGATGTGCCCTCCAACGACTCCACATTTCTTCTTCTTATTTTCTACTCTTCAGACTTCAGTGGATCTAAGTGTGAGTGCTCGGCAGTCAGGAGATTAGGAGAGCTGCCGAACTAGAGAAGGGGGGCAAATTATTCAGTTCATGGTGTTCTGTTCTCGTTCATGCTAACTTCAACCTGCGGATCTGCTGATTTGGCCACCTACATCCACATTCAGGTGCTTTTGTTCCTTGTTTTAATCATTTTATGTTGCTTGTTCTTGTTTAGTGACATGTCCTCTAGAAAGTATTTATCTGGTACTAACAAAAGGAAGAGAAAAAAGCAAATAGATGAAGAGGTAAGATCCCTAAAAGGATCACTTGACAAATTTTCCAGACTTGGTAGTTCTTCTAGAGATCCCCTAGAATCAATTGGCCATAGTAAGTGTTGAAGAACAACCAGCTGAGAGATGAAATCTCCATTCAAATTTAGGAATACAAGCTATTGTGGAGCGAGCTTTTGCCGAACTACATCATTTCATTAGTTCACTTGATCGATAAATATATTGTCCTATCAGTTTTAGAGTCCAATTTAAGAAGCTATGTACTGGATATTACTTTGCTTTTGAAATATAAAATATTTTGAGCTTTTGAGTAAACAAGGGCCCCTTATTGCTGTCTTGCCCCTGGGCCCCATATATCTATGGGTCGGCCCTGGTTTCAAATTCCTAGTATGGTCCACAAAAGCATCCAAGAAAAGGATAGTGTCATCTGCATATTGCAAACTAAGAGCATCTCCAGCCGCGCCCCCAACAGCCCCTCCCCCCCGGTGATTTTTTAGCGCCGGTGGGCGAAAATCGGCCCAGTCGCGCCCTCAGGAGTCCGTTTTCGCCAAGTTGGGCCGAAATAACAGCCGGCGCACCCGAGCCGAACCCGACACACTGGGGGGCGCCGACACAAGCGAAAAGGACGCATGGGGCCGCTCTGTCGGCGAGAGGAGGGCCTTTTCCCGCCGTTTCTTCCCGCTTTATCCCCAGCTTCTCTCTCATTCTTTCCATTCCTCCCACCAATCTTCTCCTGCTCCCCCTCTGCGCCGGCCGCCATGCCGCCGAAGAAGTACGTGGTCCCTGATAATCCCCAAGTGCAGGGAATCATCGTAGCAATTCCCAAAGGTGGAAGTGATAAGTATGGAGTGTCGAACCCACAAGGAGCTAAAGGTAAGATCAATATTCTCTCAAGTCCTATCTTCCACTGATACGACTCTACATACACCGAACGTTTGCTTCCAACTAGAAACGAGAAATAAAACTACGTTGTGGGTATGAAGAGGATAACTTTGCATGGTATCGAAGAGCTAAAATATGAAAGTAGGTGATGTTATCATAAAGTTAGAATATATTACTAAATATTATAAATAGCGAGTGTGGAATAATGATGGGTCCGTGTGCGAAATTGTCCTAGGCAATTGTTAACAAGACCGATAGTTGTCATTGCAATTTCACATGAGGGAGATGCATAAGCTAACATACTTTCTCTTCTTGGATCATATGCACTTATGATTGGAACTCTAGCAAGCATCTGCAACTACTAAAGATCATTAAGGTAAAACCCAACCATAGCATTAAAGCATCAAGTCCCCTTTATCCCATATGCAACAATCCCCTTACTCAGGTTTATGCTTCTCTCACTCAAGCAACCCACTATAAGTGAATCATGAACGTATTGCAACACCCTACAGCGAGAATCCCTCACGCTTGCACGACACGGAGGACACAATAGGACAGCACCAAAATAAAACATACAACTCATACCAATCTAGATCATCAATCAACCCAAAGACAAAGGATATCCACTCAAAACATCATAGGATGACAACACACACTACAAAAAAATAGACTTCCGTGATGATACGTGTTTGTCACAGTAGTTCGCTTTTTTTGTCATGCATGTAGGAGCCAAGATAGTCATACCTGTGCTGTCGTAGAAGTGTTCCATGACATTACCAAAATTATCATCACGGAAGTGTCCACTTCCATGACGATAAATCGCGCGTCACATAAGTGCTTTCGTCAAGGGTGACCGACACGTGGCATCCACCGTAAAGGAACGCCGTTAAGCTATCGGGTCGGGTTTTGGATCCGATAACCTGTTAACAGCCCCGACCAATGGGAAATTTCCACGTGTAAAATTCTTATTGGCCGGACGAAACACGTGTCAGTTCGTCAGTTGGTCAGATAGGCGCCTATGA